GGCCGGGGAGGAAGGCAGGTGGGCAGGCAGGCAGGCAGTGTGGATGGAGCGAGGGAAGCACAGCCTGCCATGCCTGAGCGGCCAGAGCCCGCTCAGCCTCTTGCCCTCTTCCTCGCCCTCTCGCTGTTGAGCCAGCTACATGCTCGCTCGCCCGCCCCCGCCCGTTTCCTTTTCCTACGGGCTCGTCCACCACCCGCCCGTTTCCCCTCTTCCTCCTCCTCCTGTTGGGGGGGTCGTCTTATACGGCCGGTCGCCTTGTATGTTTTAATTGTAGTAAGCTACTTGGGTCCTTTTTAAGGATTAAAATATTTTAAAGAAAGAAAGGAAGAATACTCGCATTTATTTAAGCATTCTTTCTCTTCTAAGAGCTAGACTCAAGAACGTATACTTTCTCAAACTCATAGAGCAAATTCTGGAAGGAAAGAATCTGTTTCCATATTCAACACAAGTAAGATCAACTAAGCAGAGAACAGTCACTAGCTAACAAAGAAGCAAATGACATAGTGGTCAAAGATTCTTAGCCTCATTCCTAATGTTTTACCTGTTAAAAATATTTTATTTTTTAAAAAACGGAATGCTACAAACCTCAAAATGCAGCTGCCAGCTAATCTTGACAGTGAACAAACTACATGGCTTTCACCTTATAAAGCTGCATACAAAGCAACAATATTTCAAGTGTCATGTGTTCAAGGCTATGACCCTTTGTACAATTAACAGAAAGTAAACTCCACTGGACACAGTAGGAGTTAGTTCTGTATAAACATGCTATGAAAATCCATTAGGTGACTATTCTGTAGCTTAGACCAGCAGAATTTCTGCCCTTTCACTCACTTTTCAGTGACGCCTACCAGTGAGAGATGTGTGCACACAACACAATGAATGGTTCAGTATGGCAGATGTAAAACCTCACTTGTCCCATCCCTTCTGTGAAGAGGAGGAACTGCAAAATTATTCTCCCTGCCCCATGGCAGAGCAAAGTGTTTGGTGACACTCTTCCCACCCTGAAGAGGAGGACAATGAGAACAATTCTTTTGCACAAAAAGAAGCAAAATGACACAAATAACATTTAATGCAACGTAACATTTTAACATAAGTAATGGAAAAGTGTACCAGTTGACAATGGCTGCTGTTTTTTGCATGCACCTTTAAGGTTCAGATTAAGAAACATCAATTTGCCTCTTTTTAAGGCATCAGCCAGTCTTTTGTTGCTTTTAACTTGCTGTACGCATGGACTTTACCTATAAAAGGGAATGGGCACTAGTTTGTGAAAAAAAAATTCTCACAAACTACAGAAACACTGACATGAAAGAATAGCACTCCATGTCTTGTTCTCGCTTAGGGGCAAGAAACCTCAAGGAGCCTTGAAATTTTTTCAGCCAGGTGTCTCATCAAGTTGATAAATGAGAATCATGAAATTAATGAGTACTCTTTCCACCCTGTAGTCAGTACTAGTGACAGTGCTGAAGTTTGCCATTATCTAATTAAGAATGCTAATTTGCCCAGCTCCTAATGCTTGGGTGCATTACAAACACAGTGTTTTTCTGTAAATTTTCTCTGGCCTAGATTGTAATGTGAGATTCTGCACATTTATGATTATCATTTTTAGTCTAATCACATTACTTGTGAAGTACACGTGCAATACCTGTGCAGTGCATTTAATAAGGGGAAACCTTTCATTAAACAGCTAAGCAAATGGAAGTGTTTCGCTCCTCTTTTCAAAAATCTTTATAAATCTCTTTCTCTAAAATAAAGTAAGAATGTATATTTGGTATTCTAATAAAGAACAGCCTGCAACTATATGCACACTTACTTTACAGGATGTCTGTCTGAGAACAGGACTCACATCTGAGTAAATAGATATAAAATTAACTGCTAAGAGTATTGTGGTTCCTTAAAAATAAATATTTGGCATAGGCTTTCATAACTGTACCTTAACCCTCTTAGATATTTATGTATATGGTTGTTCCTAATACTAGGAAAAGCAATGTAATAGTTGAAGATACCATCTTTTTTAAAAGTACTGCATTTTATCTTTCTGTTTATATCATTGCACTTACAAACCATCTTTCAAAGTGAAGTATTTTGCCAATATGGCAGAAACCTCCAACTGTATCCAAAAGATCACACGGGACCTTCAGAAGGAAGGGAGGAAATGAAAGCCCTGGTGCCTGAGCATCATTTTTCGCAAGGTTCCTTGGGATCAAGCCAAATAGGGTATTATTACATTGGGATATCTCATGTAGGAAATAGTTTTTCTGTGTGCTTTTCATTCCTTCTTAGGGTTTCATCCCCCATCATACTCCAAAGGAACACAAAAAGAAATACTGTACGTTAAGTGTTTCCTCTTGAAGCCTGTTTTATTAGAGGAAACTATTTCAACAGCTACTAAGTGTTCATGAGAAGAAGCCGTTTATTATTTACTATCCTTAAAGTAAAAAAAGATAAACGTTGAGTGTTACAGTTGGTTATTACACTGTCGTCAAATACCTCAGCTTGAAATGAAACATGAAGCGGAAATGGATCCAATCCCTCAGACAAAGACCTTCCTCTTCAGGCAGGCTTTCCCTGAGTGACAGACAGTCTGAGAGGGGTTTTTAAATGAAGTGCTGTGCTTTGTGGCTTCAAATGGGTGTGTCTTGGTGTTTGTTTTTTTTAGTGTGGTATTGGTTTGATTCTTTTAAAATATTTGTATGCCTCAGTTTTTTAAGTTTTAAATATAGACTTTCAATTATGTAAGCCACCTTGGGTCCTTTTTAAAAGAGAAAGGTGAAGTAAAACTATTTAAGTAAATAAATAATCTATTTCTCTTTTCCGTCCAAATCTGAAGAAGTTGTTTTGGTTCTAAACCAGTGTCTGATGTCCGTAATGGACTGGATGAAGTTGTACAAATCGAAGCTTAACCTCAAGAAGACAGAGGTCCTCTTGAGCAGTCATAGGACTGACCGGGGAATAAGGACTGAAGGTGGGTTCAATGCAGTTACATTCCTCCTGAAAACAATGTGTCACTTCTTGCGCATCATACTCTTGGATTAAGCCTGAAGCTCACTGAAGTGTCAACCTGACACACTGCACACCCAGTTTTTAGCAATGGTCAGCTATTCCTCTTCAGTTAGCCAGTGTGTCAGCTGTGCCCACTGATGGAGATGTCTGGTCTGGCCATGAGACAAATGCCTTACTACAACACCCTCTAGGTGGGGTGACTTTTGGAAAGTGTTCAGAATCCCGTGCATCCAAAATGCTCTGGCCATGTTGTTGACCAAGGCCAGTTACAGTAAGGTTACAAGTTCTTTACTGCAGCAGCTCCACTGGCCACTAGTTCATTTGCAGGTATGATTCAAACTGTTAGTGTGATTTATAAAGCCTTACACAGGTTGAGTTACAGCTATCTGAAAGATCTTACTTCCTGACATGCTCCTGCCCTTCCAACTTGGACAGGAATGTTTGGCTAAGAAATGAGAGGGCCCTCTCAACGAATGCCTCTGGATTATGGAACACCCTTTAATCAGAAATACAGTGGTGCCTCGCAAGACGATTACCTCGCGGGACGATTAATCCGCAAGACGATGGATTTTTGCAATTGCTGTGGCACTTCGCAAGATGATGTTTTCTATGGAGGATTTTCAAAAGATGATGTTTTGGTCTATGCTTTACAAGATTTTTTTTTAGACCAATGCTTCACAAGATGCCCCCCCCCATTGGAACACATTAATTACATAAGACCTACTTTTTTATCCCCAAAAAGTGGGGGAGAAAGTGTATGCTGTTGGCTTTCTAAGACGCAGATCCTGGAAAGCCAACATCGTACACTTTCTCCCCTACTTTCTGGGGATAAAAAGTAGGTCTTATGTAATTACAGTGGTGCCCCGCTTAATGCTTACCTCGCTTGACGACGAATTCGCTTCACAATGAAGTTTTTGCGATCGCGTTTGCAGGACTGGGGCTGTGCAGCCCTGTACTGAGTGGGAGGTGCAGCCAGGGGGTCATCATGCCTTGGGGGGACAGGGCACAGAAGGGGGTTGGAGGTGCAAGGGCCACTCCAACTCATACAGTATCTTGCAAGCGAAATATACCACGGTCATGAAAGTGGTTTTTCTGGGGTAAGGCTTATCCATTGCACTTCAGGTGTGCTGATCCCTATGATTTCCCCAAATGTGGGGAACTCAACTGCATAATTTGTGTTAATGGGAGATCACACTTATGATTTCCCTGGTTTTTCTAGATTTCTTTTCATCTCTCTTTCTCCTCATCAGGACCTATTGAAAAGGCAGCAAGTCCTGGTGATGTCTTGTAGTGCATTCTCCCTTTTTTTCTCCCCAGTGGTAAAGGATCAGGGCAAAAGGAGTCACCATTATCAAGAGCCAGGGTGCTTCTTTGACTCCTTTCACCCTCTTTCTTTGCTGCTAGAGCGAGAAAGAGGGGGAAGGCCATCTGACACCCACTGCATTTCCAAAGGCAGTGCAGGTGAGGGGATTGCTTTTCCCCAATATGGTAGATTTCAATGCATTTGTATGGGAAACTGTGTTTTGCAAGATGATGTTTTCTATGGACAATTTTTGCAAGACTGATTTTTTCCCATTGGAACACATTAAATAGATTTCAATGCATTCCAATGGGGAATCACATTTCGCAAGACAATGTTTTCACAAGATAGCGATTTCTGCGGAACAAATTAAAATCATCTTGCGAGGCACCAATGTATTAAAAATAAGGCAAACCTATGTTGACTACATATGAACCATATCTGTAGACACAAGGTGGGATTACAGCAACATCAGCCCCAAGCCTTCACAAGGTCCAGAAGAGAGTATCTATGGAGAATATCTACCTTTGCACAGTATAATTTCTCTTTTGAAGATAGAACTGTACCATTCATGAACATTACCATTCATGATCCAGATATAGCTTGAGAGTTATGCCTGCAAAAAACAAGTAATGCAAACCAGGCTTCACGTGCAATGGTAACAAAGGTATAGCAGCACTGCAAAAGTCATAGATCTTACATTTGGAGATGGATCTGTTTGTTCATATTTTATTTCTTCTTTCCCATTGGCTTCAGACTGTGTCAGTTGGTATGATCTGCCTTCAATGAAAGTAATATAGTCTTTATAAGAGCATAATGGGCCTGCCAGGATACCCATGAAATTACAGTTGTAACTTAAATACTCCAGTAGACTTGGCATGCGTCTGTAATTCAAACACAAGCAACTCGTGAGATTTGATTTAGGATTTTAATGAGAACTCTTGTACAAGAATGATAGTAGTACTACACAGTGATTACACACTAGCTTAAATTAAATGCCCAATGGTCATTACATTTCTCCTGTAAACTATACTTAAAAAGAAAGAATGGGATTCCTTCTGTCCTGTAGTTGTACGTGAGATAAGCTGATCGCCAAGCTGCACCACAATACGGTGCAAGAGATTAATTAAGAAGTATGGTGTATTATTTGATTTGCGACAGACTTATCAACAGTGTATTAGAAATCTGTCTAAATAAAATAATGGTCTGGGAGATGCATATCCATAATTACCCGGCTTTATTTGCATTAGATTCAAACAGATGGAAAACAACCCAGTGTAAAGAATCTCCTGTCCCACTGGCTTCTGCTGAGATGCAAATTGACTGATTGGACATGTGATCTATGGAACCACTGAAATACTGTAAATAAAAACTAACCTCACAGCTAAGCATCGCTGTGATGGCGTCAGTTCCTCTTCCTTTCGAAACATTCCTGGAAATGAGGGAAAGAAGCAGAGTACAGCACATCTGGGCTGATTCAGATGTAATACCAAATCATAGTTTACCACCATGTGAATAAGCTTCGGAGAGCTTTTGGCTTTGGCTCTTTCCCCTCTTCCAGGGTGGCAGAGACAGGTGGTTTCATGGGTGAGTCAAACCCAGACAAAATGGTGATCTAACTCTTAACTATGGTTAATTGCCACAAGGAAACATCAAACTGGATTATTCAACAAAGCATTAAGATTAACTAGGGTTCTGTTAACACACAAAATGAGTGATCTAAAATGAATGGGGAAGGCATTGAGCCTTGTGTGCAAAACACTGAAGCCTGATTTGGCATGAACCGTCTAACACAGCCATCAGTTCCGTCTTCATATACAAACAAATCAAGTAAGTTTCCTAGTTCTTTTTATAAGTCTGGCTCTTTAAATTGGAAAGAATAAGGAAAAGTCTGTGTGGTTCTTAAGTTTACACAAATGTAAGAGTAGGTGACACCTTTACTGAACCACTAAAAAAAATCAAACACATTGCAAGCTTTCATCAAGAAAAATCCACTTCATCAGGCTGGACACCACCCCTTCATGGATAATACAGAAAAATTATAGATAAAAGTCCCAAAAAATCATCATGGCAGATGCCCTTGCAAAGTCTGCTTGCATGAGGTGAGTTCAGACTTAGGTTGCAAACATCAGCTAGGGGAGGGTGCAGTCTCAAGCATGGTTTGAATTTTCCACCCCAAACTTCAAAGAGTTTGCTAATTACTCTGTGACTGACCCCCCCCCATGTACCATCACATAGTCTGCTTCTGAAACACAACATTTCTTTTGGGCTCGGGGAGGGAACAACTCAGAGACACAGCAACTTCTATTAGACACCTGAAGTCTAATGCATCTTAATAAGTTGTTGTTACATGCCATCCATCTTAATACACCACCACAAAGCCACACATATGTAATTATATTGGGTAGAATCCTGCTGCTTGCATACACAAGTGTCATTATGCACATCAATGTAAAGCAAAAAAAACACAACGTGCTGCTTAGTGCTTCAAGCACTCTCTAGGCGGTTTACAAGTTAATTATGCAGGCTACACATTCCCCTCCCCCCAGCGAGCTGGGTACTCATTTTACCGACCTCGGAAGGATAGATGGCTGAGTCAACCTTAAGCCGCTACCTGGGATTGAACCCCAGGTCGTGAGCACAGTTTTGGCTGCAGTACAGCCGTTTAACCACTGCACCATGAGGCTCATGTACACTGCAACAGTGAATTGCCAGTAGTTAAGCAGTCACAGTTTGTATTCCGTGTAATTCACCAAGTCACGCAACTGACACATGATCATTAATTGAAGCATCAATTCCTTGAACAGCAAAATTACACCACTCTGATTTACATGGCAGTTCTTATTTTGGTGTGCTGTTATGTTGGTGTTAAAAGACAAAATAAACATTATAGCATTATGTCTTTTAAACTTCAAGAGAAAGTTTACACAGCAGGTCTCCTCATATGTACACCAAATCTTACCATCATGAATTTCATATGCCAAGCTTGTAATTTTCTGTGTAATTATCATCATTGGCCTGTGACAAAGAACATATTTTAAAAAAGAGGAAAACATGGAATTTAGAGTTCATTCACAGAAGTACTATTTACCAAAGGGATCATAAGAAGGTAAATGATAGAATATTTCTTTGCAAACTTGCTTTTTCAAAACTTTATACCCATAAGTTTGTGTGGATAGTGTCAGGCACATTGTTAGGAAAATGAAGCCTGCATTGTTAATGCTGATGCTACACCAACTTCCTATTTTTAAAAGCCTAAACATGGATTCGCGAACTGTAGCAAAAAAACAAAAACAAAAAACCCTGCAATTATTGTATATATGACAACTTAATTTTTTAAAAAGTCTCCAACAGCAAAAGAGGGATAAAATAGATAATACTATTTTCCAGACAGAGGCACCATAAAAACAGCATATTAAGTAGGGACAACTGAAGCACATACAGTCAGCCAAATATTTGTTCCATAAATATTAGAATACAGCTGACATTGAAGCACTGTATTTATTTTAGAAGCAATAAAAAGTAATTAGTGTCTGACGCAATCTTTCTGTGGTGAGTATATTGAGTCTCTTGAATCACACTGAAGACTCTGCTGCTTTTTAGACATAGAGTATAGCAGTATGATAACAATAGCAGTGGAGGAAGCAATATCATAACGACTCATCAGCACCTAGGAGAATGCCATTCCCTGATCACACTGTTCAGAGCATAAAAATAAAAACAAGCTTTCAAAATCATTCCTTCTAATGGAGAAGTTGATGGTCTTGTACCAAAGTCAAAGGCAATGCGAGAACAACACCCAAAGACAAGGCAGGTGTTTCTGAGTATTTGACATATTCCATAGGTATGGACAAAAATAAATTTGCGCCCAACACAAACACAGACAGTATTTCAGACAATTTTTTTAAAAAACTGCCTGTGATCTTTTGTTCATGTGTAAAGTTATCCCAGAGGAATGTTGATAATGATAATAATAATTATAAGTAGAGAGTACTCAGAAGTGGCTTTCCCATTCCCTTCTTCTGGGGGCATCCTGGGACTGTGCAGCTTGCCCCCAAGGCCCACCCTGGCTGGCTCTACTCACAGGAGGCTCCATGGGGAATCAAACTCCCAACCTCCACCTAACTCACTGAGCTATCCAGCAGAGACAGCTAAAGTATCCAGCTAAGATGGTCCATCTCTCTTAAGAACCTTCATTCTCCAAAAATAGAAGAAAGGCAACACAGCATGTCAGATGACTAGCTTGATGAAAGTAGCATGAGCCTATTTTCACCACTTGACTTGCCTTGCAACAAGTGCAGAAAGTAGTTGTGATTTTAAAAAAAAGCTTCAAAGTGCTCCTATCTTTCATTCTACAAGGACCTCTTTCTTTTTACATGGAGAGGTTATATTTTTCCCTCTGTGAAGCAAACAACAACTTTGGAAGAAATCAATTCTGAAGAAAATTTCACGTAGGCAGAGAAAAATCAATCTCCAACACAGCACCGGTCCTCATCTGAATTTCCTTCTCTCCTCTTCCTGCTAATGTTATGGAATTTCTGTTAACTGCAGAAGATAATTTTAGCAGTTATCTTATGTCAAAGCTAGCTGTAATCTGAAAGGAGTACCAAAGCATTTAGATGGAGATTGGGCTAACCAGGAACAATAAATCTTTCTGTATACCTGAAGGATTAAGCTGATGCTTAGCTCTTACTATAGGTGAAAAAGTAAGGATCTCTTAGAAGTCATATACATAGATGAAAGAGCTTCTGAACTATGCAACTTCTACACAATTATAGGAAACATGTATTTAACTCAATATTTATTTATCTCCACTATGTCTGGACACAAAAATTATTAAGGTACAGTAAAAATTTGGTCTTACCCAGAAAAATCAGCAGAATATTGTCCATAATCAAAGATATAGACTCTAGATATTTGGCACACAGTGAGGTATCCCAAAGCAAAAACAAAACAGTATCTGAAAGAGAGAGAAAAGGTCATTATATTAGCATTCTACAGGCCCATCAGAGATTTACACAAACCTGAATGAACTGAGTTATTTGCTCAGCTTAAGACCCTCATACCTCAAGAACAGTGTTTTCCCAAATGAGTCCATTCAGTGATGCCTTACCAAACGGCCTTTTATGTACACATGTTCCTTTTATGTAACAGTTCTGAATGCCAACAGCTAGGGAATGGGTATATTCTGCAACAGCGGCAAAGCTTTGGGGCTTTCAGAAGAGTGTCTGGATTGAGTGTAGCCCCTCTGTTTTATTCTGCTACAAATCGGATGGAGCTCAGCTCACCATGGCTACTTCTGGTTAAATGCAGAAAACATCTCCTGCGCAGTAAACTAAAATATTTTAGTTTGCTCTGTTCCCATTAGAAGGAGGGGGTTCCGTGCACACAACAGTGGCTCCCACTGACAGCCCAGACATTTCCCCCTGGAATGGGTTGACTACATGGAATAAAAGGGAAAACAAAGCATCTCTGTAACAGAGAGTGTAGTTCACAGTAGCATCTCACTGCAGCCTCAAGTCCCCTGTGGGTAAGTTTTTGAGACCCAATGTGACGTAATCATGGTTGTTATTAGAGCACGACTTGAGAGAACTAGGCTCCAGCCATGACCTTTGATGGATAACCTTGGGCTGGTCCCACGGGCTCAGTTTGACATGGGACTACTGTGAGGATATAGCATGGACAAGGACAGCCACATAGGCTGACCTCCGGAGAAAGCTGGGATATAAATGTGTTCGATGACTAAACAAGCCAATCAAGACTGTTCTATTTTCAAAGCCATGCTGTTTATTCAAATGTTTAAGTGGGGATTTAAATTTACTAGGACTGCTTTGTCTTTTATACTACTTCATTATGATTTCAGGGCTTTTATAAAAGTTCGGCCGCAGTATTAAAAACACTGAAATGAATGCATGAACATTCAGAATAAATCACCCCAGCTTATTTCATCCATACATTAGGGGTCTTCTCCTATTCTATTTCATATTTTATGCATATAGTGGATGGGCTGGTTCCAGCCAAGAGCTTTGCTTGCATAACGGACCCTTCCTAGTGTCACTGCCCCACCTCCAAAAACCCAGTCCTGACAACTGGGGTGTGGGTGGGGTTGGGCAAAGAATTGGCCTGAATGAAGCAATTGGGAGGGGGGGGGCATCCTGGGCAAGCCGAGCTGACTTCCACTCACAGTCCAGACATTTCCCCACAGGAACTGTTAATACATTTTAATACATTACGGTAGTGTTACGATCCTGTACCAGTCATTTAACCAGATTTTGAAAAATGTGTACAGGGAATAACTGACAGGTCATTTCCTGCAGATGTTAAATATGCCACCCTTTAACTTATCCAACTGTGCTCCCGCTTTTCCAGTCATATTGCTAAATGGCAGAATTAGCCCACAACCTACGCAACAAAACAGAAGGGGACAAAGCACCGTCACCACACCACACCACACCGCTATGGTAATTACTCCCGGGGGTCAAAGAGAACAATGGAGGCAACAGAGCTGTGGCTGAAAGGAGAGCAAGCTATGTACAACTATGAATATCAATTCTAATTATTTTTCAGAAATGGACTAGCACAAGGTTACTTTCTAAGAATGGAAATTATAAGGGTAATTAACTACTGGAAGACCTTAGACCTATAATAAGAATTATTAGGTGATATCAAGTTAATTTCAACTTAAGGTGACCCTCCCAGGATTTTTTTATATCATAGAATCATAGAATAATGAAGCTGGAAGGCGCCTACAAGGCCATCAAGTCCAACCTCATCAAGTCCAACCCCCTGCTTAGTGCAGGAATATAAATCAAAGGATATCTACCATGTGATTGCCTAAATTTCTCTTGAACGCCTCCAGTGTTGGAGCACTCAAAATCTCTTGAGATATTTGATTCCACTGCCATATTCCATATAAATTCAATATAAAATACTCAGATGTGGTTTACCAGTCTCTCCTTCTGGTTATGCTTTGAGACTGAGCCATCTGCTCAAGGTCATGCAGACGGCCAGACAAGTTAACCCATCAGCCACACACACACACACTGGATGACCCTTCCTCCCAGGAGGCACAGGAGTGATTTGAATTCTCAGCTCTTGGCTGCAACACAGCAGGTCCTCCAATCCACTGAGCTATGATAGCTGCATAACTGTATCAGCTCAATCCTCAGATAGATTCCTCTAATTCCCTTCTAAAACTAAATATCCAAGTTCTGAATTCAGAGTACTGTACCCAGCAGATACCCCCAAGTTGGACCAACCGACAGACATGCTTTCTGAATACAGCACAATGATTTATTACTACTTCGCTATTTTAAAAATCTACCAGGACTAGCAAAAATATTTTTGTTATGATTTCTTGCAGTGCAAGTGTGATTTAAATCTCCAGTTACCCTATGAAGAATTTTAAATAGCACAGCACACTATATATCAACTGCAAGCTATAAATCAGTTGCTACATCTTTCTTTAATGAGACTCTGCAATTACCTTGGCAAGAAAGAAGCTGCGTAGATTTTGAGAGAAGAAATGGTCGCTGTACAACTTCACAGTAAATTAATGCTACCCAAGATTACCACAGTGCCAAAGACAGTGGAATTATCCTTTCTGCAAGTAAGCACATTACCAATATGGCACACTAAGGATTTGTTCAATACAAGAACACTCTTATAGTATTATAAAGTAACTTATTACCACCATTATTCCATCTTACATGTTCCCCTCTTTTAATATCTCAGTGTTAAGCAAAGGCAGATTCTGAAGACAAAGCAACAGAAGATCGCCTGTTTTCCCAATAAATCAATAGTGCTGTCATAGGCTTGCTGGAAAGGTGAGGCTGAAGCAGCAGACAGTCCTCTCCAGCAGTATTCTACAACAAAGGGAGTTTCTGGAGGAAGCCACCACGCTCTTAGAGCGATGTCAAAGCATCCCGCTGGCCACCTTCTGTAGTCAGAGATCACAAGAGTCTGCAAACTCCCATAATCTCAAGTGGCAAATGTCCCAATTGGGGAAAGCAAAGCTATTCTGGAAGCTACCCATCACATGGCCCCAGATCCTGGTAAACAGCCTGAAAAGCCTTAATTATGTTCATAGGGTCAGCACACCATCATCTTGTAACAGATTGTATACCTGTATTTTTAATTGCATTTTCTTGTTGTACTAATACTGTATTTGAATACATCTGCTGGTCAGTGACCATAATAAAGATCAAAACATCAGTCAAACACCATGATCCATGTAAATGTTATTATTTATGTCATTATGTTTCTTTTTAAAACCTCTCCATTGGTATATGTGTACAGTGGTACCTCAATTTACGAACTTAATCTGTATTGGAATTAAGTTCATAAATTAAGTTCGTAAATCGAGGAAAACTTTTCCATAGGAATGCATTGAAAACCATTTAATCTGTTTTGTGTTCATACGTCAAGGCGCTGTTCATAGGTAGAGGCATTAGTTCCCATAGGAACTAATGCAAAGCTGGTTAATCCATACTCTACTACTAGGGAGCATTTTTCTTCTTTTGACCTAAGGTAAACTTAGGTCAAAAAAAGGGCAGGAAAGGGTTTTTCCCCCCTCTTTTTTGGTTCGTAAGTCAAGGCTCCGTTCGCAGGTCGAAAAATCTTTTTTGCGAACGGAGCCGTTCGTAACTCGAATCGTTCACAAGTAGGGATGTTCATAAGTCAAGGTTCCACTGTATAATGCAGGAGGGCCTAACAATGTATCCTCCAAGGCCAATCAAGTAAACTACCCAGAAATATGTCAATAAAGTGGTACTGAAATCTTCTGTATGAGCACCTAGGTCTGGATGTAGAACTGATAATGACTAGCAACCTGTATAAAATATCATGCTGTCATTTCATGTTTAAACACATTATTTACCATTCACTCGTCACATGAAGTGGAAATTCTAAGATAATCAGTCAGTCAGGCTAGGGGTTGGGTTTTTTTTTGCACATTTATTGGAGCAAAAAATAAAGACACTAGAATTATCCTACAATACTCATTTTTCTAGCAATGTTTCATTTGGCACTGCTGCTAGAAAACTCATATTCAGTGTAACTATAGTAAAAAGAAAGTAGGTCATTTGAAGAACCAAGGAGTGCCAGCTATCCAACTTGGAATTATCCAAAGTGGAATTATTACACTTTGCCAGGGATGTGAGCCATGATCCCTGGCAATGGGTAATAATTCTACTTTGCCAGGGACCTGAGCTGTCCAGTATGGAAATTCCTCACTGATCTAACAAAACAAAAAAATGGCATCACTCCAAGCATTGCTTCCTTAACTGCTCTGTGGGACATGTTTCTTTTATCATGTCAACAGGCTCCTTGTAGCAGTGAACTATAGAACAACATACCAATACAAACCCGAAGGCCAGTCTGGTGTGGTGGATAGAGTCTGACTAGGATTCACACGACCAGGTTCAAATCCCATGGGAAAACTGTTCCTTCAATATCTAACACACATCAAAAACTCTGTTAGGGTCACCATAAGTTGCAACTGACTTGATGACACATTAGAACAGTATAGATTCAACATTATTTATTACTTTAACCCATATAGTTGCATTATCACAATTTATTTAAATGAAATTAATTTACACACTTCACTTTTCATCCGTTCATGTCAATTTCAACTTAAATATTCAATGTGAAACAGTACACCAAACTGCATCAAAAATGCAAGGAAACACTAATAATACTAGAAAATTATTCTATGCTCATTTAGATTATGGCCAGTGTTCTAAATTGTCTACTGATTTTTCTAAGCTTTAATATTCTTGACAAGTATAATGTAGATAGTTCTAAATGTACACCAAATTTACTGTCAATGGCTAGATATGTCATTTTAACACCCCAGATTTTATCAAGACCATGTACGTCAGATTTCTAATCCTAAATTATTAGAACAGAGACTTCTTCAAAATACAGTATTACAAATTACATTTACATGTAGGTACTTTTAAAACTTTAAAAACAAAACATGGGTGTTGTGGGGTGGGAGAGAGAAAGAGAAATAAGACAGCCATAATGCCAGCATAAGTCAACATATGTACAGTACGAGACTTTTGCTCATACATGCAGCTTCTTCACAATGTGAGTAGTCACAGAAGGGAAGTACCCTCTAACTTTTTCAGATTTTCTTATTTGTTCCAAAGAAATTATAGTTATTAGCATAGGAACAGGCCAGCATATTATAGTTGTGGACATGTAACACCGCGCCATCTTTGCTGCATAAGAGGCAGGAAGCGTATCAATTCCATGATTTATTTTAGAGTCCAGAATTTTCTATTTTATCTTTTTCCCGCCTAAATATGTTACCAACATATAGGTGATCTCCTATAATCCACATTTCAGTTAATACAGTGAAGAACCAAACTTTTTAAATGAATTCCTCAAAACAGTTTACAGAGAGAAAATAAGAGAATAATATATTGTATTTTTGACAAAGTTTTCAGATGAATATATCTTGGTCAGTCTATCCAGTGGTCATTGAACTGGAAAGACAGGCTCACAAACAACCATATATTCCCTCACACCCATCCCCTATAGCTTGCCTTTCCAACTCCACCTGCATTTTCTTCCCACATTTGTTTTATATTGGGTTGCAAAACTTTGTTTTCTTTTTCTCAATCTGAAAAGTAAGCACATTTTTGCATAGCCCCCTAATATGTACAGATTAGGCAGTGTACCTAATTACACATTTTATCTAACTTATGCATCTCCCACTGAATAAAGTGTATACATATTTTTTTCGACTGTATATGTTTCAGCCATTTTCAGTTTTGTGCATACTTTATTTCTTCAAAATGCCTTATAAGCCCCCAAAATGTGCAGACTGGCAACACAGGGTGCAGTCTTTTCACAAGCCCTGGGAGGTGTGAAAATATTACCTTCATGAAGATTGTTAAATCCATCACAAGCCCTTTCCACTCCTGCCTATGGTCTTGTATTTGCACAAGGTCACCTTGTAACCATAGGCAACCAAGACCTTCCAGGGAACTCTAATATAGAGTTCCATGCTGGTAAGGGAGCAAAGAAAGTGTGGCCCAATGTAGACACCGAGCAGGCTGCCAGAGAAGGGAAGCTTTTTTTCCTTTATACCCAGCACAGAAATGGTTGCAGCTTTCTGATCTAACTCTGCCAGGCTCAAACAGCCCAATACACTAGTCGCTTTGTTTATGAGACTGTTATTGTAGCTGGAAGCTTTTGTCATTTTCATCCCGGAAATTCAAGAATACTGAATAAACCATCAACATTAAGCAGTGCCATTTATTAGCTTCAAAATTAGCTCCAGTTGTTCTGAGAGATGGTTCTCCTTGCCTAACTTAGCGAGTCGAAAAATAATCTATAAAGGTGGGATAGAAGGAAACAAAAACAAAACAAAACAAAAGCTTGACTGCTCTGCCTAAAGAGTCGGTGGGAGAGTCAATTCCTCTGCCCCCCTCCATGCAGCTCCCAGTCTATCACAACTCATCCTATTTGTCATCTCTGACAGCAAGTGGCACAGGAAGCTGCACAGGGATAACGAAAACAAATTTAAAACAGAACACTGAGAATTATGAACGGAAGACATCATTTTCAAATAATTAGTACCACAGAAAATGAATTCAAATGCGGTAATATGCGTAATAATCTGATGCACAAACTTTACTCAGTCATTAGTATTCTCTTATCACAGCACAATATGATGTAAGAATGAATATGGAAGTCTACATTTTATATGAAAATCCACAATTGTAGCAGTGAGCATCTGCTTGTTTATAACAGTTATTAATATGCTGCATTAATCAAAATTCAAGTTTATAGTGAATTATTTCATCACAAAACAAAAATGCATATAGCTGTTCCTCAGTAATCATAAACTCAAGAAGCTCCCCTGAGGCCCTAAAGAATATCTAAGAGTTAAATTGGAAGAGGGAAGAAAACTGTATTTGTTAAAAGAATTGTGACTAAATTTCGATATACCCACCTGTTCAAAAGACTCTGGTTTTTGATTACAGAATATTGGTTCTATGTCCAAGATTCAAAATGCCAGGAAATGATCTAACATTCCCTTGCAATATTGTGTCCATTGCCAGCTTGAGAATTTTACATACAAAAAGGCTAGCCTAAATGTTGACAACATCGTTGTCAGCACTCATGATAATCTACAACACCCCCTTGCAGGGTGGATTTCATTTAAATCAAATAAATTTAAATCACAATTTAAATTTTTTTAAAAATCCATTTTTATGGTTGTTGTGGGTTTTTTGGGCTCTTTGGCCGTGTTCTGAAGGTTGTTCTTCCTGATGTTTCGCCAGTCTCTGTGGCCGGCATCTTCAGAGGACTGGAGTAGGAACTCTGTCCATGCTCTGTTGCTGTTTGTTGGATAATTGAGTATTTATAGCTGTGGGAACAGCTATTGTCCTTTTCAGGAGATAGGGTGATGATGGTGATCAGCGTGTTTTTGTTGTGGATGTATTGTTGTGATAAAGGAGAGAGGTTATCTGTCACTGTGATTGATGGGTGCCTTTAGCTGGTCTTTTTTGTGCAATGATCCCTGGACCTTGTGCCTGGGTAGAGTTTGTTGACCTTTTACAGGCGTATTTTTCAGTGCTGGAAACCAAGCCTTGTTAAGTTTTAGACTTTCCTCTTTTTTGTTGACGCTCTGCTGGTGTTTATGGATTTCAATGGCTTCCCTGTGCAGTCTAACACAATGTTTGCTGGTGTTGTCCAGTACTTCAGTATTTTGAAATAGAATTGCATGTCCAGCTTGTTTTAGGGCATGTTCAGCTACTGCTGATTTTTCCAGATAAAAAAGTATCCATTTTTAATTTAAATCTTAATTTAATCCTAATTTAAATCATTTTTAATCATTGATTTTTATCCATCCTGCCCCCTTTTGTGCTCACTACCATTCACAAACAGGCACCAAGCTAGGGAAAATCCCAGAACCCGACTCCTTCTTTCCTTAGTCAAACAACTCACACAAACCCGGCCAACGTATCCTCCAATTTTCAGCCCCACTAGGCGGGGCTCCACCTCTCATGGACACGACTTCACCCTTGCATGCACACATTACTCCGAATCCTCCCCTGCATGCAGGGTTCTGTCACAAATGGAACCTAACACGTTCGCTGTGCTGAACAGGAAGACAGCTGTGTGGAAGGAGGCAGAGATGCACGCATACCCAGCTTAGAGGGACCCTTCAACACAGCTATTCTGGTATCCTTTTTAAAAACTCATTCCCTAAGTACTTATTGCTTGGGATTCTCTGCTTCATACGTTTAAGACCACATAGTGTTGGTCTCATGCCAATTACACTTGCTTCCTGTTAGATGCTGGACCACATCAAGGTACTGATGTTTACTTACCCTAAGTGACTTAGAGGGAGATCTAAAAGACTGCCTCCTCTCATATGAAACCGCTCCTAATTTGAACCCAGAATGGGGACTTGGGAGTCGCAACTTGCTGCTGAATCTGACTTAAGTCGCACTGGCAACTTGACTCAGGCTCAACACAGGATTTTTTTGGAAAGACTCAAGATTTGACAACATGGCCCCGAGTCATGTTGACAAGTCCCTATTAAGGATGGGCCTCCCTATCTGCTCCTGCCACCGCCATCCTCAGAGGCAGCAGGCCCAGCTTCCCTTGTAGACTTTGGGCTCCGGGCTCTGGCTGAAAGACTCGGATTTCGAACTTGGGACTGGAAAACTTGCCAACATCCCCGATTTGAACTGTTGTCAGTAGATCCAGTTCTTGGTGAGAGGAAGGGGAGAGTGGCACAAAGGCTCCTGTCAGCGGGCCGTTTTTGTGGCAGTACCTCTTCCAAACCACATACAACTAGCATCTAGGTGAGTAATTCTACTTAGCTTTAAACTATTTTTCATATTTAACTTTAACTATACTCCTTTTGAATTGAAAGCTTAATTTTCATTTATCATCCAATGATATTTTGTATAGTTCTGTGATATCAGCTACTTTGCAGGCCTCTGCAGGCAAATGAGCAAGACAAAAATGATTTTTATCAATAAATAAAATGAATACAAATAAGCAAGGGGCAGGAAAAATATTTCCCTCCTTCTGAGAGAGCAACAGTCCTTTCTGGATTCTAACATCAAAACCAGAAGAAAGAGGTTTATGTTTAAGAAACAGCATTCAAGAAAAAGCTTCAGGACTGTTCCTCTTGTGAACATCAGATTTATGGATTTCTGCTCAAATAGCATTTAAGACAGTTCACGCTTCACTATTAGGATGTAGCTAACACTACAAAAAAGTCCAAGAATATGAAGTCTCTTTTCACCCCCATCTCCATTGTTCTGTATCAAATGATAATCCTGTTTACTCTTACAAGCAGCAATCATAAGCATCACGGCTAGGTAGATTGATTTGACTCTGCAAGTATTCAGAGAAATTACTATTGCTTTCCCTACCAGATAAAATTAGAGAAAGGATCCCTTGTATATACCTCTCT